AAAAAAAAAAAAAAAAAAAAAAAAAAAAAAGCGGAAAAGGAACAGTAGCGAGGAAACGTTTACCACTTGTTCATGCGAATGTAAAAGATGATAAGGGTAGTGCATTGTACTGCTGTGTAAATACCCATTGTGCGAACACGTGTATAAAAGTTTGCTAACTTAACGGGAGTCAAAATTGATAAGCCAACTGTAGCAAAAAAAAAAAAAAAAAGCCTGAAGAGGGGGAAGGCACACGACTTTGTTGGAAAAAATACCTCCCTTCTTGTTCCTTGTTGCATTTGGGCACAGTATATGTGTCAAGAACACCCCGTTGAACTTGCAAAAACGGTGTAAAGGTTGTAAACCGTGTGCATAGATGTTTATCCCATTTTCTCCTCTTTTTAAAATAACACTGTTCTAGAGAACAAAAAAAAAAGAGTCCAACGTTTTTGCACACAAATGTGTATGGCACAGGAAGGGATGGGTGTTTTTTTTTTTTTAAACCCAAGGGGGAACGTACTTTTTTGTGAATGCCAAATAATAGGAGGAATCAGCCGAAAGAACTGTTTAGGGGAGCGACTACACGTGCAGCGAACGTAGCAGCCATTACCCCCTCCTGTAGAGCAGCGAAACGCAGTGCCGGCAGAGGCAACACTGCATGGCAAATAAACACAGGGAACGTTACGAAATAGATTGTACATGTTTAGACCTATTCGAGAATTGCACAAAAGACTACAACTTCAGCGACTGCGTAGTGATAAAGAAGTGTATCAAAAATGGAAAACTTAAAGAGGCGGACAGTGTGTGTATATATGGGAGAGAAAAATGTGGGAAAACGCTTCTTCTGACGGAGATAGTAGCTGAGATGACGGCCGTAAAAGAACTGAACGGAATGAACTGCAAAGTGGTGTACCTCGATTGCGACCTTACGTTTAATTATAAAAATTACGAAAGGATCATATGGAAAAAATTTAACAAACGTGTAAACTACGACGATAGTAGTACCTGCGCCAGTGGTGAAAGTTACCAAAGAATGAATTTAGGAAAAGCCTATTTGGAAAATTCATTTTCGAACATGTATTATTTTCGAATATTTAATCCAGGTCATCTACTACTCGTTTTAAATACGTTAAAAAATTTATTAAAAAAAAAAAAATTCTTTGAAGCTTTATTTATTGACTCTTTATCCTTTTGGAATGCCTGTAAATATGACAAGGTAAATTTGTTCTCTGATAATAATTACGTAAAAAGGAACCCGTCTGATTTGCTAGACTATGCATTTACACTCATTTTGAATTTGAAGAAAAAGTACAAATTTTTATTCATCTATTCGAAGCTATGTAACGAGGAGAAGTTTATTCAGTACACCGTTAATTTGGTTGTTAAGAAGCCAGTGAAACAAAATAAAGGCAATGTCACTGATGCAGGGACGCACGAACAGAAAGACACAAATGAGAAGGAAGAAATACACTTAACTTCTCAAGAGCATACCACACAGGAAGAGTCCTTTCTGATTCCACACAGCTTTAATGACATCCTAAATACACACATATTTTTAAAAAAAGACTTTATGAGCAATAATTTTTTAGTGGAAAAACCATATTTCATTTATTTAATACCAAATGAGAAGAAGAGCAAGATGATGAAGAAGAAGAATTTTGCTAATATTCACCAGAAGGAGGAGGATTCCCCCCATTTGAACATCTTGATGTGTTTATCGTCCGAAATGAAGGATACTGACAAGGCTAAGTATTTAAAATTTTTTTTCATGATAGAAAATTCGTACACAATTGCGCCGTTGTGAAGTTACATCCAAGATTACCTCTTGGGTCTTATCCACGGGGGAGACTCCCAAGTGGCCATCAAAGTGTCTGCATAATGTGTAAAGGAAAAAAAATAGGCTTTTTTTATTTTTTTCCTTCCCATTGGCCTCCCTTTGGACAAGTAAAATACGAAAATCTACACATAAACTTAGAGGTACGCTTTTTGTGTAGACGAGTAGGTTATGTTTTTCATCATGAGAGGAGGTTACTTCCCTGTGAAGCGAGAATATATTCATATGAGCGCGCGGGCGTAAGGGCACCTGCACGTAATGGGACCCCCGTTTTTTTGCATGACCACATGTTTTTGTGTGGTTATTTATTTACCCCTTTTTTAATTAGCATAAAATTTTTTGTATACATATTAACGCATTAGCACATTCTGCACGAAAACCAGTAAGCATTTTTTTTTTATTCGCTGCTTTAAGTCATTCACCCCTTTTACATTTGTGAGGAAACAGTTTTGTTTTGCAATATTTGTACGGTCTCAAGGAGTAAGGTAAAATGGAAGTAATTAACCCTGTGTGATTCGTTGCACTTATTTTGCAGAAAAAAATGTTAAAGCATTTGTTTTGTGCATTCTTTGGGAATGTATTATCAGGGGAAAAAAAAAAACAAAAAAGAACACCAATATGAGGATTTGCTTCAAAAAATTAAACTCATTTCCAACGGTTTGCTACACCGGCGTTAGTACAGAATGCACAATGACACCTTAACACAGGCGTCAAAGGGTGTGTAAAAATATTGATAATTTTCCGCGCTTTGTCTACCGTCGAAAATGTAATGAGGGGAACATATACAAGCAGCATTTTTGAAGGCACATATTTGCAAGCCCATTTTGAATGCGTTTTTCTGCAAGGAAAAGCAGGAGGTCCCATAATACCACCCCCGATTGTCATACGATGCATAGCACATGTGCATGCACATGTACGTGCTCGCAAAGTAAGGTCTACATTGGACAGAAAAAAATGTTAAGAATTTATAGAATTGTTGCACAACACGCACAAAATAATGGGCGATCTGTTTGTGCTGTTTTGTTTCCCGCAGTAACTCAAATGGGGTGCTCATCAGGTGACACAAATCAGTGAAAATGAGGTGCAAGATGTTTTTTCACGACTTGAACGTTGATTATCACTTTTCGATTTATTGATGGTTAATTTTTTTTTCTTCTTGTTTTCACAACTTTGACCAACTGTAGCACAATTTCTGTATAAAACATGTTTTACATTATGCTGTCTGTATCGTTATTTTTGTACCCACTCGATTTTCAAGAGGAATACTTAACAGAAAAATCAAAATATTCCTTGGCAACTTTGTAGCTTCACCTGCAGCTTTGGTGTTTAGAAAAAATCTTCGCTTTTTTTGCAGCATGAAAATGGGTGGAACGGAATTTCACAATAATTCTGTACAACTATTTTTTTTTTTTTTTTTTTTTTGTCTGCAATATAGCTATTTTTGATAACTTTTTTTTTTTTTTTTTTTTTTTTTTAAATATAGCCATTTTGAATAACTTTTTTTTTTTTTTTTTGCCAAAAATGTGACAGCTGTG